GGCAGTCTAGTTATAGTGGTAGGGCCGCCCGAAATTTATGAATATTTATTAATTAATCCCCGCCGAAGGCGGGCATCTCCTCTAGCCTTGAGCGCTTCGGTGCCGCACCTCGAAACTATACCAGTCCAGTGGCCCGGCAGTACACATAGAGAGCGCTGAATACAGCTACGAGGATGGTCGAAATTCTTGAGATATCAAACTGCTCTCACCGTTGCGCCATGGTACCAGGATCCCTCTCACCGCCGTGTCCAGATAGAGATGCCGGCACCGTCAGCGAATCCGAAGATGCAGCAGTGGCCGCTGTCCATGACCCTTCGTGTATGCTCTGGAGCGACCCGGAAATGAGCCCCGGAGCATGCGCAGAGGAAGTCGAAGCCTCTAAGTCTTGAGCGATGTGTGATGCCCCTAACAAATGCTTGATCAGTCCGGAGTACAGTCTAATCGTGGCAGCATTGTACGACGTACCTACGGCGCCTGGGCTGCCTCTCAAGGTCTCCCCTGAAGGCGACACCAGTTGTCCCGTAAACCCGATAGCCACATTTGTAGCGGCGGGTGCAGAACACTTTGTCACCTTCCACCTCCCGGGGCACTGATCGCTGTGACAGCGCGTGCATGTTCGTCGCTTCCTTTGGGGAGGGCGGGCAGCCGGGATAGTCGGAGGGCCAAAGCTGGAAGTAGAGATCCCTTCTGAAAGGGCAGATGCGGGTCGCTTTCGTGACACTGGCTGTTCGGTCCCCGCAGTGAAAAAGCTCGAGCCTTGAGCATGCTGACCCGGGGAAACACTGGGGCGGTCACCATAGCGGTACTGGACAGCGAATTGGACCGTCTCATGGCGCGCCAGAAGCTGTTGAATACTCCAGCGATCGGTGTCTGGTTCCGGAGAAGGCCGCGCGGGGGAGACAACGATGGCACTGTCAAGAGAAACCGGGTGCACAGGAGAGACTGGACGGGCAGTACGAGTAGAAGGTTTGAGGAGTGTGCGAATTCGCTTGCAAGCTTGTACGTTGAGAGCGACGGTGTTGTTCTCGTTGCAGAAGTCGAGCCAGGTCTTGTAGTACGACTTCAACTGTTCGGGGAGCTATTTGACAGTCGGCCGTCGTAAATTAAGTCATGTTTTAGAAACTAATTGAAATGCGCACCTTGTAGAATATGGATCGCCCGTCTGCATGTCCCGCCCACACGTTCACCAACTTCTCCCAGTTTGGCTGCGTCGCAGCCGTAGTCACTGTGGCGGTCTCAACGAGGAGGTGGAACAAGTCCCGCTCGTCGCGCGAGTGCACTGGTAAGACTGCAAAGCGGGTACCTTGTCTCTCGCTGAGGTAGGCGTGACGAGGGCGGGTGTCCCGGACAAAATCGGGACTGTATGGCAGCATCCCCAGCCGCTGCTGCGTGTTCTCATCAAACCGCAAGATACCAAACACCTCATCAGCACGGGTGTAGTCGTCGCCGTTAACCCAGCCACTGCGCAGATGCCGGACTTGAGAACTGAATGTCTCTGCAGCTGCGAGAGTGTCGAGTATGCGAGCAGTCCGGTTCTTCAGTGGGATGTCGAAATGACCGAGATATTTGCGCCCGGTGCGATTGAGCGTGCCGACCTGGGAATAAATAGGAATCAGCATGTGCTGTACAATAATCCGAGTCATAGCCAAATACATGCCTCCAAGTTGTGAGTAAAGACGTAGTCGAGTAAAGAATTCACGGCGTGGCGAGGGGAGATGTTGAACGACGTGAAGCGACGTATCAAGTTCTGATGGACACCCCCCTCAACGTCGTTGGTTCCACGGCAGCAGCGGTACAATGTGAGCCCGTACTTGTCCTGTCCGATTTGGTAGAAGAGCTGTAAACCGGGCGGATCGGAGTAGTAGCCCATACGAACGTTCTCGAGGATGTTGGCCGAAATATCCCAAGCCCGCTGGTTGAACAGTGGCTGCCCGGTGACGGAGTCCTTGAGCGCACCATATGTCTTGATCACCGCCGTCACCCGGGGAAGGAGAATCTCCGGAGGGGGGACATAGCGGCGGACACGGCGGAGGACCCATGCAGGATCTGAAAGGATCTTCGAGTTATATGACAAACCACGCTGCTTGAGAACAGCTTCGACAGCTGCCTTGTCCTCGCGGTCCGGAATGAAGAGCGCCGCACTGAGAGCACGCGAGAAGGGGCGCCGCAATCCATGATGCTGCGATATGGGGAACTGATGATGTAGGTGGAAAATGTCGCCCAGAACACGAGAGCGTGTTGCCTGAAGGGTAGCGCTGTCAAGCTCGTCGTACTGCGCAAGAAGCACTCGGAGCGCCGCCTCCGCATCTGGATCTGTCAGAGACTCTTCAACAGATTGTTCCTTCTGCGCGTGATCCCCGGACGATGCATCGCAGGCGTCAGCATCGGAGTTGCAGGAGCACAACAACGGGAGAGGGTCAGAGAGATTGAGGGAGTCGAGGAGGCCAGTATTGATCACGGACTCGTTTGTGGCAGTGGCACCGGGAGTTGGCGGTTCTGACTGTGCGGCACAAGGGATAGCCTTGGAGGTAGACGTTGCATTTGTCAAATCAGCCGCAGCTCGAGATAGCGTTGACGTGTTAGAAACCGTCGGCGGGGGACCGGTCGATGTGGGCGGTGGGACAGGGAGAGGATTTGACTCGGACGGTGGTCCCAGATCCGAAGCTTGACGAGCGTGAGCCGAGACCACGTCCGGGGAAGCAGGGGCAGTCCGGAGCATCCGTGAGAAGACGACAAGTTGGAAGGGCGGGCTTCCAAATGCAGAGAGCGCGGTTGCGGAGTGGGAAGGAGATAGACTTGGAGGGTGCATATAGCCAGGTACGCGCACAGAGGACACTGTAATTAGAGTCCGCGCTGGGGTCACCTTGATCCCATTCAGCTGGTCGACTCGGTCGAGAGCTATGATTCCGGAGGCGACTTCCCGGCCGTCAGACGCATAGAGCGTTACAGGACTACCTCCTGGGGAATCGGTGGTGACGAGCTGAGCAGTCTCCATGGTTCCTAGTATGGCATACACAGCCCAGACTGCATAGACGTCCAGGGCAGCGTATGCAACGAAGTCGGGGAGCAGCTCGCGGTCCGCCCAGCGTGTGCTGACTCGGATGTTGGGATCCTTGTTCAGCGAGCGGCGGAGCACATTCCTGACAAGGTCTGCCAGACCGACGCCTCTGCGCATGGCCGCGTTCCGTGAAACTGCGAGTGCTCCTAGTTCTACATGTCCTGCAAACACAGGGTCGCCGAGAGAGAAGCCGCAGTCGGCAAAGAGCTTCTTGAAGTCCGCGCCGATGTTGACGCCCACCTTGCGGTACAGGGGCGAGCGCAAGAATGTCAGAAGGGAGGAGGGAAGTCGGATTTTCCCGTCCTCTATGAAAGAAGATGTCTGTGCATCAATATTGTCAGTTATGGCTAAAAGAGCAAGCGAGAATGAAGATCCCTAGCCTCACCTGAATAAGATATATGGATTGTTGATATGCAATCTGGATTAGGGCGACACGGCCGTGTATACCATTAGACGTATCTACAGGCCACTCCATGTCAAACGCGACGGTGGCCAGTGAATCGCTCGTGCGATGGTTCATGATGATGTTGAAGCGTAGATTAACTTGCTGTACGGTGGAAAGGATGGCCGAGGTCCACCCGGGGGGAAGAGCGAGCGGTGGCAGGTCTGAGAGGGTGGGTATGGGGGAGACGCCATCACGGAGAGAGGGAAAGGCGGCTTCAAGCTGTAGCTTGTCAGCGCGGACGTTATCTGTGAAGATGCATTGCGTGGGGCGATGTCCGAAGAGCCGCAACGATGTCGGTATCTTGCTCAGAATTGGGATGTACTGATCGTGGGCCTTCGACGCAGACAACGCCATGGCACGAATCTCACCGTACTCGTTCACGGTTGAATGGAGTCCCGGGAATACGGACACTCCATGAACGCGGGCGAGGCGCTTCATTGCCTACAGTGTGCAAAGTTATGATGAGTTTAACGTGAGAGTCAGAGCAGCGCGATTCACGTGCCTTAAAGCTGTGATCAACAGAGAGGATCTCCGCTGACAACATAGCCGTATGTTGCTGAATTTGCGGCGCCCACGATTCGATGAGTGTATCGTAGAACTTGCGGAAGTACATTGATGATGGCACAAAGCCCGCATAGCCCGCGCGGTCAGAGAACGAGCTAAAAGGAGCAACCTTGGCGAGAAACTTGCTCATGTTCCCTTCTCGACGTTCCCGTACTAGCTCGAGGTATTGCAAATGCAGCTGGTCGTAGCGGCGGTAATGGTGTGACTGGACAACAGATGTGAATGTCTCTGCTCCAATGCCGACACGGAACATGTCACGAAGAAGGCCTGTGAGACGGTCCGTGAGGCCGCTTCGGTAGGTGAGCCGGAAGGTGAACTGCATTGCAAGCGACTCGGGGAGCACATCAAGGATCGCCGGGCTCCAACTGCGGTAGGTGTGGCGACACTCCCTGTTGCCGCACCGGTAGCGATACCCTATGATGTATTCGCAGTGGTCGATATCGACGACCCGACGAGGCTTGTCTACCCAGCCTAGCTGCTGCAAGAAGACCACCTTGCCATCGGTAGTACGCCGCCCGGCGGCCTTGCATGATGGGCAGGGCAACCTATCCCCGAGAAGACAATGCGGGAGCCAAACGAACCACCGTGGGCGGTAGAAGACTGCTGGGTCCACCTGGAAGACAAGACGCGATAGGAGAAACGGCACAGGGCTCGCTTCGTAAAAGCTGGCTTGTCGATAACATGATGGCATACCGATGGACGACTTCGTTGTCCCGGCCGCAATCTCGCCTTTCAGCTTATCACGGACCAGGGCATACTCGTTTGCAAGCCATATTGGCATGCTCGAGCGCGAGGTCGTCGGACGGCTGGCTGGCAATGTCGAAGTCGTCCCGGTGTTGCTTCCCTCGCCCGCCTTTCCCTGTACCTCGGTCGTTGGAGGTGCAAAGTCGTCTTCGGCATCGTCATCTCCACACGCACGAAATTCATCGTCGAGGTCGTCTTCGTCTGCGGCAACATATGACCGATCATCGCTGTCGTCAAACTCGCCTCCGATAGTGTAGAGTGGCTCGGCGAGTGCAATGTCGGAGCCATATGGATTATCTGGCGGTGTAGCATGAAGATTAGCACAAAGTGTATAGAACGGTGCATGAACTCACCCTGGGCCTTCGCATACCATTCAGGCAAATCTACCACTGTCGTAGCCGCAACCTGAGTCAACGGCGGGATCGCCGCTATGTATCACAAAGTATGAATACATTGATATGAAGTATATGGAAGTTACACACCATCTGCAGGAGTCTCCGTGCTGGCGTAGACGAGCGCACTTGATGTGGCAGCTGCTGGCGCCGCCGTGCTAACAGCAACGGTGGCGGTGGGCCGAACGGGCGCAGATGATGCCCGGCGTTCCAAGAAGCTTGCTAAATGCGACACAGACAAGGTAAGAACACCAAAATCGCAGGGCGCATACAAGCTGCGAGTAAAAGCTGTGACTTACATGTTCTGTTGTCCTCATTATCCTCATCCTCCAGTGACTCTGTGACAGCCGCAGACGTGGTCGCATTGTCCGCTTCTTCCGAGACATGCAGCATATTAGCTTTAAAAGAAATGATGTTCCTGTAGCAATGTCTTACCAAGACGCTGCTCCTCCTGCGTTGTACGAACACGCTTCTGCGGTGGTTGCCCGTCTTTCCGCGGACGTCCGACATTCTTCGCACTTGGCTTGTTCTTTGAGCCCTTCGGGCGACCCGGGCGTCGTTTCGGTTGTTCTCCAGGCGACTGGCGATTCATTGTAAGTGTTTATGATAGTAATTACAGCAAAGTAGGGTAGTAAGAAGCAGAGACGTCGATAGGAGTCGCGTGAAGGCGAGGAGACAAGATCTCTAAGCGCCCTAACGCGTCGCGACGCGTTCTCCATTTCTCGCTCGTGACTGTCCCTCATTGCACGTTACTCAGTTCCGCGCGGGCCGGTAGGTCCTAGGTTTAGAACTCCGTCAGGACCTAGGGGGCCTACCACCATAGCTAGACTCCCCCGAGGGGCAGTCTAGTTATAGTGGTAGGGCCGCCCGAAATTTATGAATATTTATTAATTAATCCCCGCCGAAGGCGGGCATCTCCTCTAGCCTTGAGCGCTTCGGTGCCGCACCTCGAAACTATACCAGTCCAGTGGCCCGGCAGTACACATAGAGAGCGCTGAATACAGCTACGAGGATGGTCGAAATTCTTGAGATATCAAACTGCTCTCACCGTTGCGCCATGGTACCAGGATCCCTCTCACCGCCGTGTCCAGATAGAGATGCCGGCACCGTCAGCGAATCCGAAGATGCAGCAGTGGCCGCTGTCCATGACCCTTCGTGTATGCTCTGGAGCGACCCGGAAATGAGCCCCGGAGCATGCGCAGAGGAAGTCGAAGCCTCTAAGTCTTGAGCGATGTGT